TACCAAGTTTACTCTCAATTCATTTCTAATGAATATTTCACTGTAAAAACTGCTCATGCAACATCAATACATGACGAAGTCATAAATATACCCATTTTTCCATCATTCAAAAAAAATGGTTACCACAAATTTTACTTGTTTAATTTCTCTAATAAATTCGACGGTTTGATAGGTGTCGATTTTCTAATCGATATCGGTGCCAAAATAAATCTAAAGAATTTTGCACTCGAAACGTTACAAGTAAATTTACCCTTGCATTTTCAAAACAAATTATTTTTCCCACAAAACACAACGGAGCCCACACAGTCATATGAAACTGTTATACCTCCTCGTGTTTCACAAAAGGTTAAAGTACCTGTAAACAAAACAGTTGGAATAGGAATACTAAACCATATTAACTTTGATGATATCGCAGAAATGCCAGAAGCCTTGGTACAAATTGAAAGTAATTTTGCATTGACAACAATTACGAATTTATGTGAAAACCCAATAAAAATTAGTTTCACAGAACCATTTGAAGTAGAACCTATAAACGAAATTGAAAATAATTTTATCGAGGAAATGGAAACCGATATGGATATCGAAGTAAATCAACCAAATGATATGAAACTAAAACAAAATTTGAAGAACTTACGTTTAGACCACTGTAATCAAGAAGAATATCAAGCGATTCGAGATCTTTGTTATGAATACCGAGACATATTTTACTGTGAAGGTATTCCATTGACTTTTACGAATCAAATCAAACATAAAATCAATCTTACAAATGAAACACCTATTTTTACAAAGACTTATCGATACCCTGAGATTCATAAGAAGGAAGTCAGCACCCAAATGGACCAGATGTTGAAAAATGGTATAATACAACCATCTAATTCCCCATGGTCTAGCCCAATTTGGATAGTACCAAAAAAGCTAGATGCATCTGGTACAAGAAAATTGAGAATAGTAATTGACTACCGAAAACTTAACGACAAAACAATCGAAGACAAGTACCCATTACCCAACATCTCTGATATTTTAGATAGACTAGGTAAAGCTCAGTACTTTACGACGTTGGACCTAGCAAATGGTTTCCACCAAATAGAGATGGAACCGGAAGACGTACACAAAACAGCATTTTCCACCGACACAGGACATTACGAGTTCAAACGTATGCCCTTCGGTTTACGAAACGCCCCCGCCTCGTTCCAGAGGGTGATGAACAACGTTCTTCGTGGCCTCCAGAACGAAATATGTTGCGTTTACTTGGATGACGTCATAATATACAGTAAATCACTCCAAGAGCACATAGAACGCTTGAGACTAATATTTGAACGGTTCAGACAATCAAATTTCAAGATTCAATTGGATAAGTCCGAATTTTTACACAAAGAAGTCAATTACCTTGGACATTTAATAACCAAAGAAGGCGTGAAACCCAACCCAGATAAGATAGAAGCTGTAAAAAACTTTCCTATACCCAAAACACCAAAAGATATCAAATCATTTTTAGGACTAGCTGGATACTATAGAAGATTTATAAAGGATTTTGCTAAAATTGCCAAGCCAATGACATTATGTCTTAAGAAAAATGCTAAAGTCGAACATTCCCCAGCATTTTTATCGTCATTCAACCATTTAAAAAATCTCCTAATTAATTCCCCAATCCTTAAATACCCTGATTTCACACAGCCCTTCGTATTAACAACCGATGCTTCTAATACAGCTCTCGGTGCAGTTTTATCTCAATCAACACCCCCCAACGATCATCCCGTGGCGTATGCTTCCCGCACGCTAAATGAAACAGAACAGAGATACTCGACAATTGAAAAAGAATTGCTCGCTATCATCTGGGCATGTAAATACTTTAGGCCGTATTTATTTGGAAGGAAATTTCAAATATATACAGATCACCGACCTTTAGTCTGGCTTTTCAATGTTAAAGAGCCAGGTTCAAAACTTATTCGATGGAGATTAAAGCTTGAAGAATACGACTACACCATTATATATAAAAGCGGCAAACAAAATACAAACGCCGACACTCTTTCAAGAATTCCACTCAACGCTTTAGAAACAGAATCTCTCCTTAATAATCCAGGAGATATTACAACTGACATCGATAAATTTCTAAACGAAATCGATAAAAATCTTCTAGAAAAACATCACACTGACGAATATAACAAAATCATAAACGAACTTAATCGACCGGTTGAATTACCTCCAGTGCCTTCAACTTCTCAAGAGCCTTCAACCTCTCGAATAAAAATTCTTGAAGATATCCGAATTAAACCACCAATGGATAATACGTCCAGTACTGACACTGCTCATAGTACAAACGCAGACGAAACCCTAAATTAAATCCCAATATTAGACGAAATAATTAACAACAAAACGAATCAATTAATTGTGAAAAAATCACCATACGACGCCTACATAAAAAGAGAATTTGAAACCTTTGATGGTAATAGGATAATCCGAGCAACGATTCCCACGAAACAAGAAGCGATAGTAAATTTTCTGAAAGAAAACCTCACAGAGAAAACTACCTATGTGCACTTTTTATCAAAAGAATTACGTGTTTTATTTCAAGAAGCATTATCTAAACACTTTTGTAATTTCAAGCTTGTAGAATGCACAAAACTCATTAATAATGTTAAACCAGAGGAAAGAGAAATGATAATAAGATTTTCACACGAAGGCAAAACTAACCATCGAGGAATACAGGAAACCCTAAAACGCCTGAAAATTAATTATTATTGGAAACCCCTGAAATCTGACGTCACTAAATTTATTAATGGATGTGAAATATGTCAAAGAACTAAGTATAACAGGAATCCACCAGACCAACCTCTTGTATTGATAGAAACACCTTCGAAACCCTTCGAGATTATTCACCTCGATACACTCCTTGTAGATAAACAAAAATTCCTAGTAATTATAGACAAATTTTCCAAATATGGACAAGCCCTTCCTTGCGTTGGCACCGCCATATCAGTATCCCAAAATCTAATCCATTTCTTTTCATTTTTCGGTATCCCTAAATTGATTGTATCCGATAATGGAACAGAATTCAAGAACGAAGTAGTTAAGGATATATTGAAAACACATAATATTAAAATCCATTTTACTACTCCAAATCATCACGAGTCGAATTCGCCCGTTGAAAGGTTAAATTCAACCCTGATAGAACACATAAGAATACTACATGAAAATCAAGATAAACTTAAAAAATCATCTTTTAATCAAATTAATTTATTAGGGAAAACCATTGAACAGTTTCAAAACGTTATCTCTAATATCTGCCAATCAAATAACGCTAAAATCGAGAATACTGCAAATTGAAAGCACAATTAAAGAGGTAGCTCTGTCTGCTATTGACAACCATCAATACTTCCAAACTCACATAATAATTAATCAGATATCAATGCTATATCAAACAATTTACGATATCTTAGAAAAAACGGAAGTAGCTATCTCATTTGCTAAAATCAATACGCTCCATAATTCAATAATCGATCCATTAGAGCTAATAAAAGAAATTTGTAGATTTAAAAAACAATTAGTGCATGACGTGTTACCATTAGAAGCCAATATTGATAACATATTGAACTACGAAAAAATAATCGAGATTAAAGGTTATTCAAAGGGCCTGATTATCACCTTCATCTTGGAAATACCATTGGTCGAATCGGATGTCTATCACTATTATCAATTATTTCCGATACCAATTCCAAGCGAACAAAATCCTGATTTCTTTATGAACTTTCCACACAAACCATACCTTGCACTTAGCAACAACAAGTACTCTTATATGGACCAAACCTGCAACCAATTGTTACCCAACGAGTACTTATGTAAAGAAGCCCATACTACATACATTGATCATGAGCCTTCATGTGCAGTCCAATTGATTTTATACAAAGAAAATGCCACTACTTGCCACCCTTTCCGTATTAGACTACAAAATGTCCAAATCACTAAAATAACGGACGGAAAATGGATAATCACAACGCCCGAACAACTAATAATTGTCTCAGCATCTTGTCCAAATTCTAAGGACAACGTACCGCTTCATGGTTCCTACTTAGCCGAATCTACAAATGAATGCAGCTTACAAATAAAGTCAATTACTCTACGAACTTATAAGCCCAATCGTTTGACTTATGATGATGTATCCTTGCCTACACTGAATTTATCGATGAATTATTACCAAACAAAGGAGTTTGCTTTTAATCCACCTACACTTGACCTGAACTCCATCAACTTGAAGGAAACCAATGAAATTGCCACAACGCTTCAAGAACAGAAGAGACGACTACAAGAAATATCTAACCCAATGGAAATGCACCAAATAAATTTTTGGACAATTTTACTTTATTGTATTTTAGGAAAACTATGCATTTTTACTGTCTATAAATTACTTTTGAAACATCGCCTTAAACGTGCCCAAAAAGCCTCGTTAGAAGACGATATTGTAATTTAACAATTTTACTTTTACTTATTTAGTTTAATCATATTTTTCTTTTAGCATTTTCTTTATTTTTTCCATTGTATAAAACCATACCTTTTTTGTTATGCTTTTAACTTAGGATGGAGGAGTTATATCCCGTGAGAACTCCAATTCAGCATTTATATTGTTCTATTCAGCTTATTTTTAATATTATAAAAGGAGTAATTTCTAGATTTAAGTCAGTTCTATTGTATTAGTCAAATAAAGTTTTTTAAAAATGCTCTCTCGTGTACACCCCTCGTAAGTACTACATTGTTTTTTGTGTTAGAATTGGACAAATCATCAACATCTCTTAGATCACCCTTCTTGAAAATATCGATTCGCCGGTAAAATCAACACGAGATTGAAGTTTGAGGTTATAATGCAACTGGCATTCAGTGTAGGTTATAAATTTATTATAAAATTATAATTCGTGGCGCCATCTGTCATAGAGAGGCAAAAAGTACTGCATGGCGAAATTGCCAACATGGCGATATTGTATGCACCTACCTTAATTTTACAAGCTTACCCGATTTTGGTGCAATTAGTTTCATCCGAAAAGTCTCTGCAGTCATTATCATTGTCGCATATCCACGTTTTTGGAACGCATAATCCGTTCTCGCATTGGAATTGATCAGTAGTGCAATTTTGCAAAAATCCTAAAAATATTAGATATTATTAACCTGAACCATGAATCAAAATTAATATAAATGATCCTATTCTCACCGCAACGTGTCTCGTCTGAATAATCGCCACAATCGTCATCGCCATCGCATAACCAATCCTTCGACACACACCTTTTGGTTTTTGGACAAAGAATAAAATTTTTAGTTTCGTCACATTTAATAAACGTATGGTCATGTGCAATAGTTTCGTGACCAGTGCAGTGTTCCTCATCTTCATTGTCGTGACAGTGAGAACGTCCATCGCATCTAAAACATACAAAATGTTGCCAGTTCAACAATCTAATTAAAAAATGTTTTACTTGTATTCATCCTTAATGCAACTACAATCGCTTGGACATAAAAACATGCCAGTTTTGCACTCCGCTGCACACGGCTCATGATGATCTTCTTCCTCAGGTTCAAACGAGTCACCATAGCCCCTTCCAGAAACCATACCCCAAGGCATATTTCCAGGGTTAACTCCAAGAGTGGGATATTCAACTCTGCCCCCATACATACCATTCACTAGCACTCCTCCGCCTCTATTCTGGATCGGTCCATCGTACCTTTGAATAATAGAAGGAATGGCCAAAGCGGGAATCGGTAAGGGAAAGTACTCGTATGGATAAGTGTAGGGATATTGGGGTTGCATCAGTTCCGGTTTCAAGGTGGTCCGGACACCATACTGCCTTTGGCCGGTGGCCAAGATCGGTTTTTTCGCTGGTTGTCGCAAAGAACTAGAACCATACATTTGACGTGCTGCTCCTGGATGGATGGGCGAGGTGGCGTTTGCTGAGAATTCCGGTTCTGCTTCGGATTTTGCTAAAAAAAAAAAAACAAAATTATTCATCAAGGAATTTGGTTTTTTATTAATATTATTGGAACCTTTTTCTTCAAATAATCAACATATATACTTAGTTTTTCAAGATTTACATAATAAGTCAGGGGCAAATTTGCTCAAACATTTTAATATTCGAGCAAATTTTCCCCTGAGGATGAGATTTTCTGATCTCGAATTATGGAGGACTTATTGAATTTATTAAAGTATTTCAACTCCACTTTGAGATATGAATTTAATTTAAAATTCCAGTCAGCTCCTGGCTCATTTTTTGAGGAAGTTGATTGATTGTGATCAAATTTTTATTGTTAAAGCAACCTTGAAAAATTAAATCTAATTAAAATGATAGCCAAGTCAGTGTTAAATACAAAACTAATCAGACCGTTCTTCCTGTTTTAATTATTGGAATAATTTGAACTCATCCAAAGAGATTTTTGGAAAATATAAGACAGAACAAATTTTTAATCACAATCTTATGGAAAGACTTCTTTAAAATATCCCCATGACTGGATAAGGGAAGTTATTGATGTAATTTGTAAGTTGAAGAAGTTATTATCAATAATGCTCCATAGTCATTAACTTTGACATTCTAACTAATCTTCAATTACCAGCTGTTTAATCCAATAGAGTTATCGAAAAAAAATTATTCTTCCGCTAGAGACAAATTAAATAATTAACTCTCCTTATGTTGTTACGATAAATTTATCATTCACGTAACATGTTCCATCTCTTCTTATTTTCATTGTAAAGTCGTATTTTTTCCATTTTAGAATCAGCCAAATAATATCCACAAAATTCAAATTCAAATTCGAATAATACAAGTGCTACCATCTATCCACATTTGCGTAAAATGCAAATATCTTACCGGTACTGCCATCTAGTGCCCGGTGTTTTATATTTCAAAGTATGATTTTTTGGTTGATTCGCATTTGGCAGTCATTTGTATTTTCATTGAAAGAAATTATAATTATCTCACTTTTAGCAAATGGATATATTTCTGTCCTTTTCTAACTTCTGATTCTGAAATAATCATTTTTTGGCTTGATGACCTAATTAACTAACAGTTTTCTATTTTTGACATAACCTTAATTTAAATTATTATAATTTGTAAACAATTGAAATAATTTTAGTGGATTTTTATCCATTCTGTTTTATTCCATGCGGTCTTTCATTGTGATTTCATTTTGAAGTGAATATGGTCTTTTGGGTGTCCTCGTCTTATTGGTTGAAGCTGGTTGGAATGCAGTAAGTATAAAAAATACGGGATCGTTTTCCTGCTAGCTGTGGTTTCTGAAACGACCTCTTCTTGAAAAGCGACTCTGGCAGGTAAGTCCTCTTTATTTTTAAATAATTTTGTGCTTGGAATTTCTGGATCCTCCCTTATAGATTCAATATTCAAATTATCATATCTTTACTAAGTTTTTACCTGATAAATCTTATCTTATCTGTTTTTGAAATATAAATATTATATTTTAAGTTTTTTTTATCTAATTGTTGGCTTCCATTTTTGTGTGAATTGCTTATTGGAGTGCCACGTTTTGTTAATAGGTACCTAAGTCAAGACAGATTTTTGGATTCTAAATAGGTACTGCTGCCCTGGTTTTCAGAATCAATTTTTAGTGTGGGAATATTGGACCATTTGCTTTGAATAAAGCCGGTGAGAACCAAATTTGTGAGTCCATCCCCATTAACTCTTTATTGAATCCAGGCTGAGGCCTGAACAACCATTTTCTGTTTGACTCCCTAAATTATTATCTCACTTAAAGTGTGTAATTTTTTTAATAGAAGTCCAGACAGGTCAAAAATTCAGTTAAAAAGTTTTAATTAAAACATCTCAAGAATTTTGACACATTCTGGATTTGATTAATTTCAACCCTAGGTTTATCTAGTATCTGTGGTAGCTACCTTAATTCGAGAGGAAGATTTTGTCTATTTAGGGAGGAATCCAGAGATTTCATTTCTTATTTTTTTTACCTACCTTCTTTTTGCTCGTATTTTTGCCTGGCAGAACTGTTATCAAGAAAGCAGCATTCTGCTCAATTATAACGAGCATTTTAATAATCTTGTTATCATTCTAATTTTCTTTATTATCTTACCATTAATCTTAATTATTTGATTGTTTTTTTTACATTAAAATATATATTTTTTTCAACTTGCAATAACTATTCATACCTGATTCTGTTGGAAGGGAGTGTCTGTACAACAATAATTTTATATTAAATTTCAATTTAAATTTTCTCTGCAAGACACTCACTTTTTTGACAGAATTCAGGGATATAATATTCCAAATATTGGTGAACCTGATACTGCCTTATTCTTTTCTGAGTACCTACTCTACATAAAGATCACTGTTTGGAGTCTGGATCAGCTGGAGTGACGTCACCCCAGCAATCTATCCTCTTCCTGGATACAGGTAACCACACGAAGAGCTCCAGTTCACGAAAGTGAAACCACAATTTTTTTGGAAAGCAGGTACTTGGTATCAGATTCACCAAGAAAAACCAAGCTGTTAACACTGAAATTGACTACATAATATTGTACACTAAATAAAATTATTGTTTGTTGGATTTTGAGTGGTTTCATTTGCACACAAAGGGGCTACACGTTATCTTAATTTTTCTTTGAATTCACGACCCTAGGTTATCTTTTTCTTAAAGTATACAAATTCTAATTAATTTGTAACAATGTATGTTTTTCAGAATTTAACTTAATTCCTATTGAATCTAGTAGTAGACAGGAAAACAAATAATAAGACAGCTTCCTACATAATATTTGTGCCACACAGTCATATTGTGCGACGCTGTTGCCCTGTATTAGAGTGTATTTCTATCGATTTTAGAGGCAGCGGCCCTGCCCAGCGCTGAATGAATCCATTCATGAAGCAAAGGATGAAACGCTCGTTGCCGGGATGCTGCAGAAGCTTTTACTGTTGCAACTTGATGCTTTCTCAATTTCAGGTTTACCAGATAAAATGAGATTTTCGTCAAATATTTAGGATAGGGTGTCGACAGAGTTTCCAAATTCCAGAATAAGGAGCAGTCTAGGAAACACGAAAAATATTTTGACTAATTTTGAGCACAAAATATTTTTTCTTTTTCTTGTTTTTTTTTCTGCGATCTCATATAAATGATTACCGCAACACAAATACTAGAATTTCTTTGATGCTCAAATTTTATTCTTATATTATTAGCATTTTAATGGAAATCACCAATTTCGATTTAATTTAAAAAAGTATAACACGAATGTATGATGAAGTTGAACCAGGTAAACTGTTATCATGCCGAATTCTGCAAGGAAACATCTCGCTATAAAGGAAAATTAATTTCCAGTTCAAAATCATAATTTTTATTCTCCTAAATTTTTTTATTTTGCAATAGGTATACTAACTTACTGAGTTTTTCAAGATCATAAAATCAGAATAGTATTTTGATAAACTTTTCTTACTGTAGAATAGTATAAACACTCTAATATTTGAACACATTATGCTAAATACCTAACAAAAGTGCATATTTGCTTTTCTGCTGACATGAGTTATATCCCGTGAGAACTCCAATTCAGCATTTATATTGTTCTATTCAGCTTATTTTTAATATTATAAAAGGAGTAATTTCTAGATTTAAGTCAGTTCTATTGTATTAGTCAAATAAAGTTTTTTAAAAACGCTCTCTCGTGTACACCCCTCGTAAGTGGCGCAGTCGGTAGGATTTTGACGGAGACTTCGGTAAAAAACAGTCCGGTTCAGTCGAAAATTTGGATTTTGCGGGCCGTAAAAAACCATCGTCTTTTCGTGCTAACGATTTACCGTCAAATCGAAATATACGTTCGTGGTATGCGAAAGACTTTTGACAATCAGTGAACTCGCGACCAGGGATCGGAACAAAAATCGTCCATTAATCCTATTGGTGCGGATAGCGGAACTACATCGTCCAAAATCCATAGAAGATAAATTCATGTACTTCAAGATCAATCTGATATTGCTGTAAGTGATCCCATTATTCTTTTCCTTTTATTTTTATATTTTTTGATTTTATTGGTATATATTTGTTCGATCTGGAAGGTGATAACGAGCTTGACAATCTTATAAACATTTTTAACAATAATTTTCAACCTAATAATCAGATTCAAAATCTTGTTAATATGGCCAACCCAAATTATCAGCTTATTAGATACCAAGCCGATAATATTCCAAATTTTGATGGTAACACCAAAACACTTGGCAGATTTTTAACATCATGTGAACATTTTCTACAGAATCACCAAAATCGACAAAATGCCGCAGATCCAATAAACATCTGTTTGTTCGATACGGTAATTTGTAAATTGACAGGTAGAGCTGCCGAATTAATTGCTTCTCGCACGGAACTCGATACCTGGCAGAAAATTAAAGATTCGTTAATTGTCACATTTTCTGACCAAAGAACTGAAGATTGCCTTGTCCAAGATATCATTAATATGAAACCAGACAAGAACGAATCCTTACATTCTTTTGGATTAAAATTGCAAGATTCTAGAAGTTTGTTATTTGCTAAAATTAATAGCTCAAACGATCCTAATAATATGAAAATTCTAAAAATCGAACAATTTGATAATCTGTGTCTAAAAACTTTTATTAACAACTTAAATTACCATATGCAGTTAGTGGTAAGATTAAAAGACCCAGATTCTCTTGAACAAGCTCTCGCATTTGTACGAGAAGAAGAGAATTTCATACAATATAGAAACAGGTCTAATCAAAGCTCAAGAAATATACCTAATAACAACGTCAATAATAAAAGTAAGCCTCAATCAAGTTTTAACAATACACTTGGAAATTATGCTGCTAATATTCCAAGAATGCCTATAACACCATTCACTAATAATCCTTTCTATCGACCAAATAATTCGTTTAACAACCAAAACTTTGCAAGACCTTTCCCAAATATGCCATTCAATAACCAATTCCAAAGACCTCAAAACTTCAATAATTTCAATAGACCATTCCAAA